GACTTGGAAAAGATCCTTAGACTGCTGATAATCAGAACTATACAGACAAGTTGTTTTTTTTTTTTTTTTAATGAAATTATTCTAGAAAAGGCAACTGAAAGGTAACATTAAGTCTTTAAAATATGTGAAAAGCCGTTCACTAAGGTTGACAGTGCAGCCATAAGAGCAAAGCAAGAAGAAATGGCTTTTAAATTGTACTGTGAAAGATTTGGTTTACCTGCCTGACCTAGGTAATAAGGTCCTACAGATACACAATGATAAAAATCACTTTGAAACTTTTTCTGTGCCACCTTCTGTTTCTCAGCCTAGAAAAAACTAAACCATCCCCTTGACAATAAACTTATACGAGTAAAATTCCAACTTGGCTACCTAAAATAAAAACTTTGGGCTGGGGATGTGGCTCAAGCGGTAGCGCACTTGCCTGGCATGCGTGCTGCCCGGGTTCGATCCTCAGCACCACATACAAACAAAGATGTTGTGTCCGCCGAAAACTAAAAAAATAAATAAATATTAAAAAATTCTCTCTCTCTCTCTCTCTCTCTCTCTCTCTCAAAAAAAAAAAAAAAAAAAAACTTTGAGATCTCAGAAAAGACTACTCTTATGCCCCAACTTATTCTATATTAGCATAAAGATTACTTGGGACCCAGACTATATATATTCAGACTTTTTGACTAATATGCTAAAGTGAAAACATACCAATATGAGAGGAATCAGTGAAGTGAAAACACGTTTCCATTTTACAAGTATAAAATTAGCTCGATTTCAATCTGAAAAAAAAAATTGAGGTGGTATGAAGGCATTCAACAGGGCACATGACATCTACACTATATCAAGGCAGAAGACACAACACTTTAAAAATGAGAAAATTCAGAAACCCACTGAAATTCTAAGATAAATACTATCCCCAAAACCAGGGAAATAATGTACAGATTATCTACCCTTGTAAATATGGAAAGCACACATCTAAGAAACCCACACAGATTCCAAGTCAACCACAAAACAAGGGGAAACAATGTCTAGTGGTTTAAAAAAAAAAAAAAAAAGAACCTATATTAGCTATGTGATATTTCTACATGAACTACAATCAGTTTCTGTAAAGCCAACTCTTTCAACTTTAGTAAAAGCACCTCAATGTATAAAAGTCTGATTAATTCTCCAAATATTTATTAAGTACAAACATTGTGTACCCCACCTGGCAAATATAGGTAATAGTCCCTCCTCTTATACAAAATATACACACTTTATAGAAAAACTACCCCAAAATCAATTATAACTCTTAATCATTTCTAGATAAAAAAGATGATTAACTTCTTTCCTTTCTGGCTTACTTGTAACTTCTAAGTAAGTATATTATCAATAGCTAACTTGAAGGCCATTCCCATATAGTTAATATCAAGGGATTGACTCCATTTTAGATTTTAGTCTGGGGTACAGACAGAGGAAAGATAGAAATCTTCCCAATATCAAGTTGCTGGTTTATACCAAAACATGGTGTTCCCAAGGGATGCTATGTCTAGAATCTGGGGGAATCATATACAAATCTTCTGTTTACACAAGTCTTCCAAAGAGACTAGAAATGTTTGTGTGTTGAGGGGAGGGGACAAGGTCTGAGTGGATTTGAGGACTACTAACAGTTCATCCAAGATTCTATAAAAGAGCAGTAAATTAGGGTTTGGCTAGTATTTGCTGACTACTGAAGCCAGCATAAACTTTACTTGAGGCTTTTAAATCTGTAAGGATAACCAGTAGTTAGGTACAGTAATTCTGAATCTGAAAAAAATAAACAGGCCCACTGGAATTGTTTCTAAATAAAGGTGGGGTGGAAAAGGTAGGCACATTTCCTTTGTTTTCTCCAAGTAAAACAATACAGACTTAAGAAATGCAAAATGTAACTCTTTGGTGGCATTGATCCCTATAAGTTTTTATTGCCTTCTTAAAAAAATCCTTGCAATTTATATTTTTCAGAAGTTCACACACAGCTTTAAAATAGACTACTTCAATTCAAAAAACAATGAAAAAAATCTCATGCTTTCCTATGAAAACAGAAACAAATCAAACTTTCAACAATATTTAGCATTTCGCTATATAAAACAGAAACCCAGGGTTGGGGTTGTAGCTCAGCGGTAGAGTGCTCGCCTAGCACAGGCGAGGCCCTGGGTTTGATCCCCAATACCACATAAAAATAAATAAAGATATTGTGTCTAACTACAACTAAAAAATAAATATTTTTTTAAAAATTTAAAAATTAAAAAAAAATAAAATAGAAACCCCACATTTCTAAATAAAATGGCGAAGATAAAAACTTTGTAGGTCACTAGCCACAATATGAGAGTGGTGATTAAGCACAGAACTTGATGTTAAACATAACTCTACAATATTACTAATTACAGAGAAATTTTACCAATAAATATTTTGGTTGAAGACTGCTTTGTCATCTTTGCAAGTATTTTTAGTTGAAAGCAAGTGTTGGGTAGTACACGTGGACATGGTTCTGATTTTTAAATATCTATTTTTACATTCTGGTCACTGGTTAGGTTTTCTAAACTCAATTCTTTAGAACTGGTAATTTGGAAAGGGTAAACCACAAGATCATTATGCTAAAAAGCAAAAAAACCTAACAAGCTCACCAACTCAGATCAGTACAAAGCTAACTTGGAAAGCTCAGAGTTCTCACATCTAACCATGGGCCCTTAAAGTCACTAACTCCTGAAGAATGTGTCTGTAAGTGGGCAAGCTATATTAAAGTTAGGTTTCCAAATACAGCAAGAGCTTCCCGTTTCTTTGTTTTCTATTTGCAGTAACTTTTTGGTGGGCCACCCCTTCAGATTTTTCCTCTACATCTCCAAATTTGCTTAAATTGGACTTAAATTTCAGATTTTAAAATATGCACACCTAATTGCTGCAAAACATCCCATATTGTTTTCTACACTGAATAGCAAATATTTTACTGAAATTCTAGTAGGGTAAGTGATTTTTAATCTTTTCAAATAACCCCCCCCCCATCCAATTTAGATCTCAAAGAGTATGAGCATTGGTGGCTCGATTCATCTACACATTTTCTTTCCAGACTTTTTGCATACAGTAGAAAAACTACTTCTAACAGAGGTAACAGATAAAGAACTGTTATGACTAGGTCTTTCTTTAAGAGGGGTGTTTTTAAAAGGAAAGAAAACTGTCCCCTCCTATTACTCTTAATGAGCAGCCTCTTGTTCTCAGCAGTCAGTCTGCACACAAGACCACTACTGACTTCAGTGGGAATTCTGCCCAAGAAGTGAGGAAGACAGGATAGGATTAAATTAGCCCTAAATCCACAGCATTGTTCCAAACCATTACCACTTGTACAGTTCTCCAATAACCTCCAAAGAGTAGAAATCTGAGGCTTGAAGGTGGTTTTCAAATTGTAGAAATGATTATTCCAGCTCTGACAGGTGACACAGCATAGCTCTTTAAAGTTGCGTCAAACTCGCGGCCTGATGGAGGGACTGGTTGGCCCTTATCACAATCCAACAATGACAATACAATGCAGTCTCAACGTGACTGCAACAGCAAGCCAGTGATTTCTTACAGCAAAAGACTGCCAAGGGAAACTGAAAAGAATTTATGCACTATTAGTTCTTAAGAGATTGAGGATTCTAAATCCCAGTTTCCCAAGCCAAAAAACTGATTCAGTTTGCTTCCAGTGCTAAGCCCAAGAGGAAAGGTAACAAGACAGTAACTAAATGCTGATTCTCAATACAGTGTTGTACATAAAGAATACACAAATAATGTATTCTGATGAGAGAACAAAACAGGAGGAGGAGATAAAGAAGGGACTGAAAAAATAAGAATGAAAGAAAACTAAAAGTCACGAAAAGAAAAAAAAAGAAAAGCTTAAATAGCAGTAACAAAACGCCTGGCACACACGTACCATTTCATATGCAATAAGTTCAAGAAACTAGGAAAAGATGTGATTCGGATAAGAGAAAATATATTCACAGCTCCTCTCGGTTCCACCTTCCCTCCAACCCACCCAGGGGTCTTAAACGTGAAGACAGCTGTTGTGGTGACAGGGAAATTAAAGGCATTCTCCAGACGACTGTAGAAAGGCCTCCACACAGAGACCCCTCCCCTTATAATACAAGCAAACCTCACCAAAAGAACTTGACCTTAGGGAGGCTGGCATCTGGGAAGTATGCCGACTAACGTCCACCACAGGCGTCGGGCTGCTGGAGGCAACGTCTCCGACGCCAATTTCAATCCCGTCGGCTCCTTATTTTCTCCTCCTCGTCCTTCCCCTGCACCTCACCTAAAAATGCTCCCAACCCTCCGCCCCCAGCGCAGGAGGAGAAAAAGCAGCCATCTGTGGTGAGGTAGCTGGGTGTCGGAATTTTAAGGGTCGAACGCGCGTCCCTGTCGGCTGCCGCCAGCCCACTCCGGGCCGACCGCGCCGCGCGTGGGGCTGGCGCGCCGCCCTCACCACTCCCCGCAATCCCCGCGGGCGCGTCCGGCCCGCGTGTCCCCTCCCCAAACCATCCTCCAGAAGAGCGCCGCCGCGCCAAGTCCCCGCAGTCCCCGCGCAGGGGATGGAGCCGGATTCCTCCGCTGCTGCTCCAGGGGCCCAGACGCGTGACCCTGAGCCCACCTCACCCGGGACGGGGGAGGGACGGCGCGGTCCTCACCACGCCTCCACCTCTGCAGACTCTGCGGGGAATGAAGAGAGGACCACCGCAGAGGAGCGGAATCCGGCCTGGAGCAACAGGATGCGGACCCTGCGGCGCAGGAGGGTCGCGCTGATGGAGTGGGGGGAGAGAAGAGAGGAAGCCGCAGAAAATCCCAAAGCTAGTCCCCCTCCCCCGCCTCCGGGAGAGACCGTCCCGCCACCGCTTCCTGCCCGGGATCAGCTTCCCAGCTACAGCTAAAGGAAAAATCCGAGCCGCCCCTGCAGATCCGCAGAGACTAGTTGCCCGGGCCGGGACCCGCGCCCCAAACCTGCCATTTCGCAGCCCCGATCGCCTCCTTACCCCAACGCCGCACCTCAGGAGCTCACCGGCCTGGGGGACCCGCACCTCACCGGCCTGGGAGACCCGTCCCGCGTCAGTCCCAGCCAGCCGCGGGCCAGCGCGCCAGCCTCCTCCCTCCGCTAGGTTTCAAATTGAAATTCCCTGGCTGGGGCCGTCAGAGGACTCGGCGCGCCGGCCCCGCCCCCTGGCGGCGGAAGCCCCTCCCGCGCCCCTCCGACGCGCCCCGGGCGCGGAAACCCCCGCGGGCAAGTCACGCCCCCTTCCCGCAGGCCACGCCCCACTCCGGCCACCGACAGGGACCCTTCCCGCGGGATTTGCGGAGCTCCGCCACCCAGTACTGTGCTGGGGCGGCGCGTTTCGTCTTTGAGCCGCCCCGGATAATGACAGCTATTGCGTTTGTGCAAGGCATTCTTGCTTCGAATCCTGGCCTTAAATGCCCTCTCAACTTTTAAAAGTTATTTCTTCAAAGTGCATTCACTGCCTAAACCTTCATTGAGCTCCTGTTCCGTGGTACACTGTAAAGTAGGTCCAGGAGACACATAAAAAGGAAAACTGGGTCCGCTCAGTCTAGAGTGAAAGAAGTGCTTTCACTGAAAAGACTTGAAAAGGAACCATTTATTCTTCCTGTGAGAGGGACAGGAGGAATTGGGGAAACCCCATGGAGGAGGGACATTTATGCTCAGCCTTGACAGTGAGTAGGATTTCTCCAGGCACAGGCCTGGGAACCTGGATTGTAAAGCATGACAGGCCTGAAGCAGTGTCTGGGAAAAAAAAACTTATTTTGCCAAATTGTGGAAGGACACACACAAACACGCGGGATAGCCTCCTCTAGTTCTTTTCTTTTGCACAATTAGACCATTATCTCTTAGAATCTACTTATTTCATCTTTTCTGAATACTTCATTCATGTCAGACTGGTGTCAGGGTGCCCAGCTCACTGACTCCAGAATCTACCACACAGGTAACACTTTTCTGCTTCCTCCCACCTCAAGTGAGATCTTCAGTGATCCATCCCTGTCAAAGTCTCCTTTTCTTTCCTAAACTTAACCTTTTTAAAATTAAATGTCAAAGGAAGCCTCAATAACAATACTTGCCATATGTTTGATGCTTTCCAGGTAACAAAACCCACTCATTTTATCATTTGATTCTCACAATAACCCTATGAAAAAGGGAGGGCAGGTATTATCCCCATTACATCAAAAGGAAAGAGCTGGGAAGATAAATTATCTGGTAAGATTCTTTGATAAACAATAAAAGTAATAGCTAATATTTATTATGTGCTTTGTGTGTGAGGCATTGTTATAAATCCCTTCCATGTGTTGATTTTATCACAATCCCACACGTTAAGTACACAATTAAATTAAGTTAAATTTAATGAGGTGTGCTAAGAGAAAAGAATCCTAATAACAAAGTTCTAGCAAAGGGCTGGGAATTTGCGTTGGTTTTTAGTTACTATGACAAAATATTTAAGATAACTTATAAAGAGGAAAGATTTATTTTGGTTCACAGTTTCATAGGTTCTAATCCATGGTCACCAGACCCTTGTTGCTTAGGCCCATGGCAAAACAAAAAATTATGGAGGGGAATGTAGTGGAGCAGAGCGGCTCACCTTATAGCTGACAGTGAAGCAAAAAGAGAGCAAGAGGAAGGCGCCAGGGTCCCAGGAGCCCCTTCAAGGTCAAGCCCCTCTTGATGTACTATGTCCTACGAGGCCCCCACATCCTAAAGTTTCCACCACTTCCCAATAGCAACATCAGTTAGGAACCATGTTTTCAACATATGAGCTTTTGGAGGACATTTAAGACCTAAACCATAGTAGAATTTTATGAAATAATACTATTGTGAAATTTGAGGCAGATTTACAATTAAATCAAATATTTGTAATTTTATATTTCTTTTTATATTATAAAGGGTTCCTAAAGTCATACAAGTGGGTTTTTGTTTGTTTGTTTGTTTGTTTTCACATTTGTGTTTTGGTTATTGGTTTCCTTTTGTTTTTAAAGGGGGTGGGGGGTCTCACTATTCTGCCCAGGCTGGCCTTGAACTCCCTGACTCAAGCAATCTTCCCTCCTCAGCCTTCCAAGTAGCTGGGACTCCAGGCATGCACCACCACAACTTGCTTAGTCATGTAGGTTTTAGGGCCCCATGAAATCTCTATCCATCCAGGATAAAACTTATTTAAAATAATAAAAATAATTTAAAAACCTATATAAATAGTAAAAAAAAAAATATGCATAGTAATGAAATATAATGCCCATGTCATAGGAAATGAGATCCAGGTAATATTCTCTGTTGAAGTGTGTAAATTGCTTTTTTTTTTTGGTATCAGAGATTGAACTCATAGGCTCTTAACCACTGAACCACATCCCATCCCTTTATATAAGTTACTTAGGGCCTTCCTAAGTTGCTGAAGCTGGCTTTGAACTTGTAATCATCTTGCCTCAGGCTTCCAAGTCACTGGGATTATAGACCTGCAGTGCCATGCCCAGCTGCAAATCACTTCTATATGCCACTTTCTAAGAAGCATAAGCTAATCTACATTCATAAGTGAATGACCTTGGTAATGTGGGAACCAACAAGATATAACCTAAAGAGATAAAGTTCATTAAAAGATTGTTATCAAATATATAATATGTAAGGGCTATATTATGTGAAAGAAAAAATTAAGACTCCTTGTTTTGGACATAGACTTACATGGCTCCAACATTTCAATGGAATAAGAGGATTCAGAGGCAGAACCTGGGGGTTAAAAAAAAATCAAGTTTCAGGAGCTATAAGGATATGAAGGAATAAACAGGTGGAACGTGGTATATAGAGATGTTGGCAAACAACATGTGGTAGTCCAGACAAGCAGAGAAAGCTAACAGGGAAAGAAAGGAGGACAAATTCCTGAACAGGTGATATTCAGAGGTGCAAGCAGGTTGAGATACTGGCAGAACAACCAGGCTACAGTTCAAGGGCAGAATATTAATCCCCATGATAACAATTTGATAAGAATGAGACTGGGGCTTCCCACTAGATAAATTGTAGTAATAGTCAAGGGACTAACAGAACAAAACAGGAATCTAGTAACAGACCTGGGAGTCATCCATATTTAGCATCATAGACTCAATCCTAGATACCGCCTACAAGCAAACTCAGTCTGGCAGTGCAGACTAGAAATTTACTCAATCTCCCTAATTCCCTTACTTAGCAACACAGTGGCAGAGGCTTGGCCCCTGAGAAGGTGTGATATCACTATATTTCATCTTTTACCTTTGTGCCTCTGGATGACAAACCCATCTAGATGGAAGTATTAAAGTGGCACTGGGGACTTGAGATATAGCTCAATTGATAGAGTGCTTGCGTCACATGCACAAAGCCCTGGGTTCAACCCCCAGCACCAGAAAAAAAAGAAAAACAAAAGTGGCACTGGGTTGAAAGCCACCCTTTGTTTTGCTTTGCATGGTCCAATGGCAAGAAGAGTATACTCTCTTACTCTGTCTGATTATCAAGCTTCACTGTGAATGTGTGAAGTCCTAGTTCCCCTGCCATGAGCAACAAAGGTACCACAGAGCTCGGTATAATACCAGAGACTGCAGAGGCTGAGGCAGGAGGATTTCAAGTTTGAGGCCAGTCTCAGCAACCAGTGAAGACCTAAGCAACTTAGCAAGACCCTGTCTCAAAATAAAAAATAAAAAGGGCTTGGGATGTGGATCAGTGGTAAAGAGCCCCTAGGTTCAATCCCCAGTTCAAAAGAAATTGCACAAGCACCCTCGTAGGAGTCACTCTGTCACCTGGCCTATCTTTGGAACCGTTTTTTGTTGGCCTATAATATTCCAAAACTTGGTGACTAAAAACAATTATTTTACTGCTCAGTGTTCTCTAGGGCAGAAATTCAAAGCAGGACTGAAAAAAAATGGCTCTTCTTGTCTCCATGTAGTGTCAGCTGGGAGGCACATTTGTGGGTAAAGGACCTAAGAGGGCTTCACTCACATGCCTGACAATTGCTACTAGCTGTTAACTGAGATACCTAATTTCTCTGCCATGTGGACCATTCTGGTTTTAATATGAGATGTCTCACCAAAACTAATGTTCAAATGATTTGATTATGAGAGATTGATGCACTGATATGGATTAACTTAGGGCAGTAACTAGAAGCAAGTAGGGTGTGGCTGGAGGAGGTGGGTCCCTGGGGGGTGGGCAAACCTTTAGAGTTTATATTTTTTTCCCTGGTTAGCAGAGCGCTCTATTTCCTGCTTGCCATGTCTTAAGCTACTTTCCTCTCCATGGACTTTCACCATGCTGTTCTGTCTCCCTCAGGCTTTGAGCAATGGAGTTGGCCATATGTGGACTGACACCTCTGAAACGGTGAGCCCCAAGTAAACTTTCCCTCCTTTAAAATTTTCTTGTTGGATCTTTTGAACACAGTAGCAAAAAAGCTAACTAAAACATGGACTCTCATCCTCACAACGGGTGTGGGTATGTGTGTTTCTGACTGCGTCTATCTCTGCCACTGTCTCTCTCATTTTATATGGACCTTTCTTTATGTAGCACCTGATTTCCAATAGAATAAAAGCAAAATCTGCAAGTTCTCAAGGATTAACCCCAGAAGTCATACAGTATCATATGTGTCCCATTCTATTGGTCAGAGAACATCAGAGGACCAGCCTCAATTCAAAAACAAGGATCATAGACTTCACCTCTTTATAGTAGTGGAATGTGTATACAGTGGTGGGAAAAAATATTAGCAGCCATTTTTGTGAACAATTCACCACAGACACCTGCTCTTCTAGTCAAGCATTAGAGACTACCCTCACTGGATGAGATGGAGCACTCCTGTAATTCCAGGCACCGGGGAGGCTAAGGCAGGAGGATCACAAGTTCAAAGCCAGTCTCAGCAATTTAGCTAGGCCCAATGCAACTCAGTGAGACCCTGTCTTTAAATAGAATACAAAAAAAAAAAAAGCTGGTGATGTGGCTCAGTGCCCCTGGGTTCAATCCTTCATACTAAAAAAAAAAAAAAAAAAAAAAGACTACGCTCTTCTCATTTCCATCTCCAGCAACATTTTCCACAGGGTTTCCATCAAAAACATCACAAGTTCCCTTTTCCATCTAAAT